TCAAAAAGTAAAAAGAAAATAGGGCTCTCTCTACCGGGTGTAGACAGATCCATCAGAATTGTATCACTTGTATGGGATAATCGTGAAAAAGACAATAGTCATACGACCCGAGGATTTAAGGCGTCGTTGTGGCCCCTGTAAGCTGGGGGTCTTGTAAAATTGATCCGGCTGATAAGGTAATGAGGGGTCCAGTGCATAAACCGGCCAAATATAATACATCACAGGTACCCTGGACTCGGACATTTCTTTCCGAACTTTGGCGCCATAGAGATACAAAGTAAGAAAGCACGACAAAGTATATTCGCCGCAATAGTACTAAAACATTATTGAAAATAAAAACAAAAACTTCAAAGTCATCCATCTAGCGCTGGGTATATTCTTAAATTTCAAGGCCCATTCGCAACAGTTGTTTGTAAAGATTCTTCAAGAAAGAACAATAAATTTACGATTTATTATTTAAATATAGCGAAACAGTATCTTTGTATCAGTTTAATATTTTTGAAATCCGAGATAAGAGGAATGTGCAGCCCCCGAAGCTACCAATTACTACAAATAGGATGTATAGTGAAAGAAGAAAGCTGAAGAAGAATAAATTTGATCACATTATGACTCTGGCTAAAAACTATGTGCCACAACGTGATCAGTGGTTCTATGAAGAGATCAGAAAATACCATTAGAGCTTTTCGGCAGGTGATAATGTAACTTCCACATCAGAATTCAGTGCAGACGAATAAATTAAATATTTTAAATTTGTAGCAAAATTGAATTAAAACATGTATTAGTTTATTTCATTCAGTAACTTAACAAAAAATAACATTTTCAACGTCATAGTTTGTTTTATTTTAATTTAAAAAAATCAAGAAACTGCATAAATCAGTCAAGTTCATTAATATTTTCCTCATAGCTCATTTATTTGTTTATTCACACATGGATATATTTAAAAAAAATAATGCAGCAGAATTATCTGCAATCGACATCAAATACGAAAATTTTCAGTAACTAAAAATGTTACATCAAAAATGTTTTTATGCTTTCTCGACATTATTCCTCATGTGTCTTGGCTGGCTTATGCATTGCTACGCCTCTGAGTCTGACCTTGCGTCCGCAGAGCTTCCTCGGGGGTAAAGAAGGGAAGTAAACATGACATCTATTAAGGTGGAGCTTAGGTAAATGAAGAACAGAGAGGAGAAGAAATGTATTGACTTTACAGTGAGTTAAAAATATTTTATTTATAGTCCTTTGTAGCAGTCCCCTCCAAGTGGGAATGATCACCTGATGAGTTTCACAAATTAGAGAATCAGGGAGTTTGGTCGAGGAAGTTCGGCAACCGTGCCGCCATTCCATGCGGTGCCATTGGGAGGCTCAGACAATCACATCGCCAACTATAAATGTGGCAGGCCGCAGAGGCGTGCTATTTTTAAAATTTTTGGCCACTTACTAATCGCCACTATAAGACTTTACTGCACACGAATATATTGTTTTGTTTCATTTTAATACCACGATATTTAAGCGCCATCAGTCATCTTTAATTATATTTTTTGTCTTACCCTCTATGTCGTAAGGATTTAAATTCATTTATTTACTACTGCTTAACCTGGATGTCCATTTCCAGGCGAAATGATATGCCATACACTTTATGTTATGTGCAAGGTGTCCTTAAAATTGGGAATTTACGGAGCATATGGATACAATAAGAAAATGTTAATAGTAACAAATACACCAAAGCCGCAAGATTACTGAGCTATCAAGTTCCGAAAAATCTAAATGGGCTACTCGTATATCGGCCCTGCATGCAACGTGAAAAGGTGCGATCGGTACGATGTGCATCCGGCGCCGCGCGGTGTGTTGGTTAACCAGTGTACAACTCGGATTTAAAAAAACAGAAATTGACACATTCCTATATCAATAACGAAGTCAAGATATTTGATGTAGTGTCTCCAAGATGCTGTTGGCACTTCGCGTGTATTCTAATCATTTTCCTGTATGTTTTTGTCCTGAGCCGCGCAGGCTTGTCTATATCGCGCGAAAGTCGTCGAGGAAGAAACAGTAGAATTGTACCATGATTTTCATAGTCTTTTCTCTCCTTCAAAAGGGCTGGGGTATTTCTAGATCTATATTGTTCCGCGTCGGCATCAGCGCTCTCCTATGCTGAGGTTATACTTTCTTTTTGAATTTTAGGAAATTCTAGGCTGATAAAACAGATGATATAGGTAAATCAAGAGCATGAACAATTTGATGTCAATACATATTTGTAACATAATCACAAAATAAAGCGCTGCCCCTGCCTTTCTAAAGGACAGGAAAAACTATGAAATTCAAGGAGGCCATAAAAGCGTCCTACAATTGTAGGGATGACTGACGATACGGCCGTGAGACAGCTTCGAATGGTGCTTTAAGAAGAATTTAAAAAGCTTGTGTTTGTAAATCGATTGGCGTCAGCTTCAAACAGTATTTACGAGCTACATGTGACAGGATAGTACTAGAATTTTTTTACCAAATGACTAGTGAGTCCTTTTCTTCAATGTCTTTTTGGCATTTCTCTGTTGTTTTACCGCACACAAAGTTTCGTATTACAAATTTACTTGTTTCAGAAAAGTCCCAACTTTCAGAAAACCTTGTATATTATGATCATTCTGTTAGTGTTTACAAAATACAAAATGAAGGACAATTCTAGATATTATTCTTCAATGTCTTTTTGGCATTTCTCTGTTGTTATACGGCAAGCAAATTTCGGTATTACAAATTTACTTGTTTCAGAAAAGTCCCAACTTTCAGAAAACCTTGTATATTATGATCATTCTGTTAGTGTTTACAGAACACAAAATGAAGGACAATTCTAGATATTATGAGTCTATTTTCCGACAGTCATAAAGCAAGACTCCACTTGCTACTCATACAAATTAAAGTAGAACACAAATACTTTTTTTGGTACCTTCCTCGAAGCATGTGACTTTGGAAAGCAAAATTTCTATTTTTATCTACTGCTTTCACAATCGGATAAAACTTGGTAGAATTGAAGTGTATTCAATTTAATTTACGCGCCTCGTCAAAACAAATAGCAGCCCGCTACGTTCAAATTTGCGTGCTTTTATAGGCCAGCAAGCCGTTTATGCCTGAACAGGCAACGACAAGTGAATAGGAGCGACCATTGAGTGCTCATAGACATTTTGACATGGAGTAAATGAGGTTTTAATAATTTTAGGCACTGAATGCGAATATGACTGAAAAATTGTCATATAGCATAAAACGAGCTTCCGTCCAAATCGCAGATGCGCAGAGATTTTTGAAAATTCTGTAGTAAGAAACCTGAACATTATTTTTTTATACTGATTCAGCCGCGGCTGCTATAAGGAGCTTAAGGAAAATAAATAAACTTTGTTAGTCCGATTTGTGTACTGCCTAAGGTTAGTAGAAGTGGGAAAAACCGCCTCATCCTGGAGGAGAGCTATCGTATGACTTGGTGAAACATTTTAATTTTCGTATCATGTTATTACTTCTGAATTGAGGTAATGTTATGCGATGTGTGCGGATATAATCTTGTGTACACCTACACTTGGTCGAGATTGAGGTATAAAATTTGTCGCTTGGGACTCATCGTTGATCTTATCGTCAAATTCGTAATATACGCACCCAGTTTACTCAGGAAACGAATTTTTATCCGAACAGATACGCATGTTTTTTTGAAAGTTTCTGCGTGATATGTCGTATGGATTGTGGGGTGAATAAACCTTTTTTGGTCTCAATGATACAAGTGAATAAAATGCGTTAAGTGCAAATATGATAATAAAAAAACTTGAGGTATCATGGGGTCGGGTTTTGAAGTATGGGATGGGCAGATTGGGACCTCGTAAAGGTCCTAGCTCGAGATTGACACGGGATTCAAAATCTGCGTACGCGTTTTAGCTAGGAAATTATTTTTCGTCCACATCAAAGATACACCGTTGTTTTTAGAAATTGCATTTTAGCTGCTTTTTTATGATTTTACCTATTTGTTCTGAATAACTTGAATAGTCCTGCTTTTTGTTATATATGCAATATTACAAGGTGGCCTTTTATTGTAATTCTGCTGGCTTTGTGGTCGCGTACCCTGCTGCGCTTCTAAAAATTCTAAACCTATTCATTGCTTGTCCGATTTGGACACAAATATTACCGAAAGTTTTCTATAAAAAGTTTCACACATTTTTGAAGTTTTTGGGTTAACTTCACATCAAATTACCACGATTCACCTTAGTGGTCATAAAAATTTATTTTTGTCGAAATTCGTTATTTGTTGCTGCCGTCAAAAATATCGTAATGGAAGGCTTAACGATTCGTTATTTTTGTTGCACTGAAAACTCTCTACTATTGCACTTTCTTCTGTAAAATCTCCATGTTCGTCTTCCATTGTTACAAATGAATGAAATATGTGTTACACTTAAGAAACTTTGCGATGCTGAATATGTTTATCAACAAATCGTGACGGGTTGTGGGATCAAATTTGAGGTAGAAAATCTATCGGCTGTGACTCCCCAGCTCTACTTTCTTGGAATTCAAGTCAATCCGAAACACAAAAATTTTAATTAACACTATTGTAATATAATAGTATCCCCATAGTCTAGTTATTTTGTGTTTTTATGATGCTCGTCATATATGGTAATTGTTTTCATATTCTCATTATTTTATGCTATTTTATATTTTCCAATAATATTTTTGAAGTTATTGTATTGAAATTGTATATTTTTTTCCTGTCGAATTTAGGAAAATCCATATTTTCATCAGTTTGACACTGAAATTGTCGATCTTTATAGTGATATGTATCGCATGTTTTAGATAGCCTCGATTCGAGAATCAGTATAATGAAAAATCGAATTCCTAGACGAAACAATAACAGAATTGCTAAAAAACAATCATATTTGATATTGAAACATTCTTATCATCGTTATGTTTTGACTGCAGCCATTTTTCATTAACTCCTCAATCAGTATAAGTAGGATTGATCTCAGCGAAAAAAGTGATGAGAGTTTGCGTAATTTCCAAGAATGTTAAACTATCTTTCAACCCAGGATACGTATAGTAGTTATATAAAAAATTCAACATCGAATCACGTACAAAATGCTTGATATTTCCCCAAACATCAACCAAGTGGGGGTCAACGAATCAAAATATTACATCAGGTAAATATTTAGCGAACAACAATCAACGCATAATGTCATTGAAGACGTATCGCGTATAAAACTCAGAAGTACCACCTCGCGCGCAGTCCAAAAATGCGTGTTCTGTTGGTACTAGTGGCTCTAGAGCTCTTAAGTCGATCAGGGGCCGCCCCTGCGGGATGTGCTTGCAACAACATGGTGATCACCCCGTCTGAGCAATCGTGTCTTCTTGGTCATTTGCTACAAATTATCACGACGCTTGTGAATAACCAGAACCCGAATTGCACCAAAGAGCTTATGAGGAATCTTACCAGGGCCTGTTCTGATAAACCTTCAACCACTACGCCGGTAAGTGAAATCCTCTTTTCCTTCTTTGTTCAGACATATGCATATAATAATAGTATTTATTTACATGAACCTATAAAGTAAATAAATGTAAAATCCCATAGAAGGCAACGCCTGTGTATGGATGATTACAATTATTTAAAACATTTATGAATACATTAAAAATATTTGAAGTATACATAGAATCAGATGATTAGTTCCTTAAAAATGAACGCAAAGTAATATCTCGTCACGTAAAATTTACAGGTTCTAATATTACAACATAGTCTGAACGTGGTACTCCAAATCATATGTTTTTACTTTTAGTAATTTAACATAGGGAAAATAAATAATAATAATAAATATTTGGAAAATCATTTCAGATATACGAATCAGAAGAAGCTACTAATGAAGCAGAACCCGTAACACTACCATGCATCAAAGAACCTGAATTAAAACCAGAAATACCTGGAATAGAAGGAGAACCAGAAATAAAATCGAATGAAGAGCCAGAAGTAGATGAGGAACTTGAGACAGTTTCAGAGCCAGAAGAAGTGACAGAATCCTTTCCAGTAATAGAGCCAGAAATAAAATCGAATGAAGAACCAGAAGTGGATGAGGAAATTGAGAAAGTTTCAGAGCCAGAAGAACTGACAGAATCGTCTCCAGTAACAGAGCCAGAAATAAAATCGAATGAAGAACCAGAAGTGGATGAGGAAATTGAAAAAGTTTCAGAGCCAGAAGAACTGACAGAATCGTCTCCAGTAACAGAGCCAGAAATAAAATCGAATGAAGAGCCAGAAGTAGATGAGGAGCTTGAGAAAGTTTCAGAGCCAGAAGAAGTGACAGAATCTTCTCCAGTAACAGAGCCAAAAGTACTAGAATCTGAGGAAAAATTAGAATCAGAAGAGGGGTCAGCTTGTGATTCTCAAACTGAAGAGACACCTGAGGCAGACTTGGAGGCAGAGGTAGAAACAGAATCTTCTCCAGTAACAGAGCCTGCGGAAACAGAACCTGAAAAAAATTTAGATGTACCTGAAGAAGAGGAACAGCCTCCAGAAGTAGCAACTGAGGCAGATATCCTTGAAAAAGAATTGGAAACAGAAGAAACACCTTTGGAAGGAGAGCTAGCTATAGAGGCAGCGACAGAACCTGACTTAAGGCCGGAAGAAGCAGCTGAGTTTGAACCCGAAGTCTCAACAGAATCTGAGGCTACCCCAGAACCGAAATCTGAAGAAACGTGTACAGAAGTATCTCCAGACTTAGGTAAAGAATCAGAGCTAGAACCTACTATAGAATCGGATACAGAATCTGAAGAAACGTGTACAGAAATATCTCCAGAGGTAGGTAAAGAATCAGAGCTAGAACCTACTCAAGAACTGGATACAGAATCTGATTCCTATGAAGAATCAGAACAAACCACTGCACCAGAATGCGATTCCGAATCAAGCTCGGAAATTGACGAGGAACCTGAACCAATAACTGAGCCAGAATCAGAATCTGATGACATAACTGAATCAGGGTCGGATGAGGAATCTGAAGCAATTACTGAGCCAGAATCTGAGTCTGACGACCTAGCTGAATCAAGGTCGGATGAAGAACCTGAACCAATCATTGAGGCAGAGTCTGATTCTGATGACCTTCCTGAATCATTATCTTCAGTAACTGATGAAGCAGAACCAATAAATGAAGGAACATCTGCAGAGCTGCAAAATGAATCAGAACCCACTCAAGATAAAATAACAGAACCAATTACTGAGGGGTCATCTACAGAGCTAGAAAATGAATCAGAACTCTCGCAAGATGAAGAAACAGAACCAATAACTGAGCGGATATCTACAGAACTGGAAAATGAATCAGAACCCACGCAAGATGAAGTAACAATAATAGAAACCAAGTCAGACGACTTACCTGAATCGAGTTTAGAGGCTGATGAGAAACCAGAAGAGGTTACTGAGGCAGAATCTAATAAAAAAGTGAAAGGAGGTGTATCCGTTTGTGCTGAAAAAAAACAAAAAGCTGCGTTGTTCGAATTAGAGGAAGAAGCGAAAGAGCTTCTGAAGACAAAGGATGAGCTCTTAGCTGAGGCTCACAAACTAATTGATGAGGCGCATAAATTGATGGAAGTTGCTGATGAGATAGAGGCAAAAATACCGCAACTTGAAAAATGTCTAACGGATACTACAAAACCAGCTGAACCAACAGATTCTGGAGTTGTCGGCTGTGGGGAGCAAACAACAGAAAAAACTTTGGAAGCAGAAGAACCCAAAATACCAGCAGAAATAGGTACCGAAGAATGTGGACCAAACTCTTCAGAACCCGCAGAGGAGCTGACACCAGAAGAACCAGAAACTCCATCTACTCTAGTACCAAGTGAACCAGAAGAGGATGAACCTACGCCTGAGGAAGAACCTACGCCAAAAGAAGAACCAATGCCAGAGGAAGAAGCTACGCTCGAAGAAGAACCTAGGCCAGAGGAAGGAGAATCTGGTCCAGACTCTTCAGAACTTGTATCTGAACCAATACCATCGCTGTTTCCATCACTACCTACAGATGAAGGAGTGCCAGATGAAGAAGATACGGTTGCACCTGAAAATGAATCAGAAACTCCTGAATCAGACATAACAGAAGAGGAACCCCCTGCACCAGAAGAGGAGCCCGAAGATGAATCGGCAACTGCAGACTTACCAGTAGAAGAAAATTCATCAGAAGTAACAGAAGAGGGACCCGGTGCACCAGAGGATGAATCGGTGACTGAAGACTTACCAGAAGAAGGAACTCTCTCATCAGACAAATCAGAAGAAGTTACTTCTGCACCAGAGGAGGCGCTCACAGATGATGAGGAACCAATAATTCCAGAGAAAGCTGAAGAACTAATAGTTCCAGAGGGGCCTAAAGAATTGGGGACAGCTGAATATGAGGAGAAACAGGATATCGCTACAGGAGTTACGGAACCTGAAGAACCAGATAAAACAGAGGAACCAAAGGATATAGAAGAAGAAAAAGAAGAAGCTGTACCGGAATGCACAACACCAATAGCTAATACTTTCACCCCAAAAGATACAGAGGAGTGTGAAGTGCCTGTAACCGAATCTTGCTCTGCAGCAGTTCAGGAAACACCTTCAGTTTTTGCGGAAGCAGAGGTAAGAATTTTTAAGCTAGCGTATGTTGAAAAAGTACATTTTACAAAATTACAGTTTGCATTTTTAACTCAAATTTAAGACATAATTACTGACACGGGTATTATATGAAAAAACCTATAAAACGTAAAAAACGTATAAAATGTCATCTTGCAGACTAGGTAGTTTTTAGGGTGCAAACTGTCATTCCTCGATTGCTCACTAGGATCGTTGTGAACGTCCATCTATTGAGGAATCACTCAACTAAACTACACCCATTACTGATTGCATAGTTTTGTGAGGCTGAGTGATCCGTGTCTGTAGCTTTTATCTCTGAGAAGAAAGTTGGTTGAACAGCAAGATGGATGATAATGTGTATTGGTCTGCATGTGTATAAAATCAGTGATATTTGCTGTGTGAGAAAATCATTACTGAATATGCTGCCAATTTAGTATATCTATTAGCTGTGTCCGACGGGTTATTTATATGTTGTCCTTTCTGAAAGCAAGTTATGGTCAAAATTTTAAATTACGAACAACTTTGAGGAGAATTACGAGAAATCACCACAGCGCCAGCGTTGTGTGTAATTACTGTTAGCATGATTTGTAATTCGACAGTGTATATAATAATTTCTTCTTTCTCTCATTTTTGAAATTCAGCCAATTTGCATACGTAATTTCCAGAATGGTTAAGAAAAAGTGGATGCGCTACTAATTTCTAGCTTTGAATCTCAAGTAAGTATATTTGAGACAAGAATCCAATGGAAGCATCATCAACACATACAACTTACAGCTTAGACCTCCAGTAATGCCATCTCTGAAGCAGATTTTACATCACATCAGAGCCAAACATTGATAACTGGAGCCTCATAACGTTTAGGCAACACGTACAACTACAAAACGAGTTCCTAACATTTCCATCAGCTAGTGCTAAGTTAACATTTTGTAGAAAAACCTACATAATGTCACAAAAAAACAATACAATGTCAAAAAAGCATCTTCAAGCATAGTTGAATGTATTTTTAAGATTATTTTGATTTGAACTGCAAGTAACTGGAGGTTGGTTGTCTAGACACATGTATGGGAAAAGTTTACCCTGGGATCATTTCCAAACTTCATATAGTTTAGTTATAGGACTATTTTAATAAGACACAATGTCCTGGAAGAACTTTGTGAAACCTAAATTAGAACCAATTATTATTAATGTAGAAATGTTATGGAAACTCTACCAATTAGTCGACAATCCAAGACTGCTAGATTACTGAACACCATGAGGAGCGAGTTGCAATACGGTTTAGGTTCTCCAGTGTTTTCGGAGACTGCTCAGATGGCTTCCGCATGAAAAAACTAAGTAATATTAGACAAGTTTCAACATGCGATTGTGATCTCTCGTGGCTGTTTAGGTATATATTTTTTGACAATTGCCACAATATATAATGAATTTACGATTTTTCAGGCAAATGAAGGACTGAAGGAAGACATACCAAACATGGACCTGACACACGATACGACGGCGGCACCAACCACAACAGCAACTTGCGTAACAAAACCACGCAAGTATCCACAAACTCTCTTCATTCCAGTACTAAAATTCGACGAGACACCTGCATATACAGCTGACGAGCTGCTGGAATACATTTATAATATGTATAAAAATAAACACACGCATGATTTGAGGATCGATCATACTCCTCTTAAATGCATTACGCACAACGATCACTAGACGTTCGAAAAAATTGATCAAGTTTAATCATGGGAGATGACAGCTGACGTGACTTTGCAGGATTTGATAATCATTCCCCACACAGATTAAAAGCTACACTAATTCCACATATTTGCATGATACTTTTGAAACTTTGTATTAGTCCGATCAGAATGCCTCTCATTTTTTGGAAGAGTAGATAACCAATTTTCAGGCGAACAGTATGGAGATGTTTAAATACCTCGCAAAAATTGAGAATCTGGCGTAGACCCAATCTTTGCTAAAAAAACATTACTTTCATTGCTCACTCTGTATTAGTGGATAAATAAAATTAATATACTTGTCGAACAGTGTACGTATTCTCAGAGTTAGTAAAATACCGCAGCTCGATATCGATTTCGGTTCCGAAAACATCGAGATTTGAATTTGGGTAAAATTTTCCATGTTGCACAGCAACTGACCACCATTTTATTTCGTAGGTATTTGGCTTTCCCAATTGTTATTATTCTTTCATATCTGTGATATTAATCAAAATGGAGTTACGTGGGTTTTCCTTTTATTCAAACGACTTTAAAAAGTCTCAGTAGAAATATTCATAGAATATTCCTACCGAAGATAACAAAACCATTTGAGCAGTTTACTCAAGTTTTCATTAGACTGCAGTATTATATTAGGATTTTTTTACCAAATATCGTAATAGTTTATGTTTGCTTATTTATTTTTTACCAATTAGCTACTAACAAATCTTAAAATACATATGGGATCCCAAACTAAAACGTGTTTTCCAACTCAGCTTGTATCACCTAAGGTGAATGACACTTTCTTGATTTCTAAGATAACAGCTATATGTATACACATAGTATCACTATATTGGTAAACATTAATACGTAATCCAGTGTGCTTTGTTTAGCTGCATTTCTTGCATAAAAAACAAACTTTTCAGGAATGTGTCCTTCGAATTTTAGATATGGTATAAGAGGTTGATATATGACGCGTTATTATTATGCATAATAATAAATATTATAGATTGAGTTCCTGTTTTTTCTGTTTTAGTTCACTTATAAAGAAGCTGAAAACAAGCTTACTTCCCGTACCACTTTATTTGACAACCAGTCATGTAACTAAAAATATATCTAAACAGTAGTAAATATTCAAGAGTGAATGACGAGTTCAGTAGTTCTTAAAATTATGGGGGTATTTTCCAAAATATTTATTTCTATGGAATATGAATCTGAAGCATATTCTGTCTATTTCCACTTTTTTCTGTGTACTAGAAGTGACAAAGCCTCTCTAAACGTCACACGCAGTTTGATATCAAAACTTACACGTAATCATGGCGCAGAGGACTGCCAGGGAAGGTCTTGACCGCCTCACCTAAAAATCCGCTTGGACCTTAAAATTTGCATATTCTGACGATATCATCAAAAAGTTTTTGGAGCAGGAACACTCTCTTGCCGATGATCGACTCCTCTAAGAAAAATTCTTGTTGGCGCCCATGGACGAAATGAGTTCCTCGAACGTGACATAATAAATGTTTCCATCTCCTGAGAATCCGATTCTGCTTCTGCCATGAAGATTGGCCTTCTGACAGGGGGATTAACTATCAAATGAGTGGGTAGAATGACAAAGAAAATCGGTGTGATTCTCATACATTTCTGTACTGTATTCTTGAATACTGATATGAAATCGCTTCCGGAGTCACTCTCGTGAGAAAAAGTGTGGAAATCTCGCCGTCGTCCATCATTCTCATCTCTAACGACGAAGTTAACTGGAACATTTTATTTTACAGAAAATGGGTGCACTCGCAAAATTAATTGAAAAATGTCATCAGCCGTCAAAATTTGGGATCGAAAACAGTGAAAATAGGCGCGTCCACTTTCTCTCTTTTTCAAAAATATGGTCCAACTATACATCTCCGCTCTATCTTAGCAATATTGTCTGCAATGTGCAGACATACACTTTTCCGAACTTCGAGCCATACTAAATAGATTGCCGTCCGATGCTGGCTACCCTATTGCACCTAGAAAATGAAAGTATTTTCTGTTTAAAGGCGTCAAAGTTTTAATGACAGAATACAATGGAATGGAAGTAACAGAAAAAGGACACCCGGTAATAATTAATTTATTACAAAGACTTTGGCATATAGACATATGTTTTTTAGCTTAGGCACTTATTGTTTAAAAAGAATAACACATTTATGAATAAAATCTCTCATTTTGAGTGATTCACCCGCTAAGGTTAGCTTTCTTAGCGAATGCCGCATATTTAGATGTCACCTACGTAACGTACAGTTCAGCGTTCAGAGCGAGTGGATTACTCACAAATCAAGGTTTATTTAGAGATACGTAATACGTAAGTGATAAACTGGCCAATTTTTGTAAATGGAGGATCTGGTTTAATTATAACAAAAGGCGGATTCAGCTAAATTGTTTTAGCGCGATCGCTCGAGTCAGTCGCACGGTGCCAAGCAAACACAGTAGCGTTACATAGTGGTGCTTTTTTCCACAATTACAAAAATAGCTCAGTATATTTCATGACATTTATGAAGAAACTGTTCTCGTACACCAAATGATTCGATGTGTGCAATTCTAATCAACAAAACAAATACATTTCCAAGAAAAGCCGTAAAAAACTTTCTGAGTAACGCTGATATAATACATATATTGAGTTTCTAGACTGAATTCACAGTCATTTATTATGGAAATATTGACGACTATTCTGAGTATCAATTAATAACAAAACATTATGCTCAAGTTGAGTATAGATTGACATAGGTCTGTGCCTCTGAGTCTGCTCATCATCTGCTCAGCACGTGTTTATAAGTCAGAAAAACGTTTTCAGATGTATGACAGGTGTACATTGCAAGCATAGTTGTAGAGACTTATTTAAGAAATATCTTATACTGACCCTACCCTTATTATTTATTTTCGAGATAGCCGTATACACCTTCTTGAACCAGAACAATTTTCTTTTACGAGTAAATAACCAAATTAACGGAGTCAACACTAGACTAGGTACTTATCTCCATATACCGTTCACAAGTATTAATTCTTCTAAAAGGTGGGCAATCCGTTGGTTTCTTTTCTAATTGGGATTAAAACTACACTCTTCAATAATATACACCTTCCTATTTATGAAATACAATTTCAGTTAAATGGCTGCAGTGTCTGGCCTGGCAGTAGTCCATCCTCTTAACCCAATTTGGAGCACATTTTCGATAGTTTGTGGGTCTATTTCATCGATAGCTCGACGGGTATTTCCCTAAGAACATCAGTTGTTTGAGGATTGTTAGCGGTCCCTAACAGTATCCCATAGGAAGTAATCCATGGGCGTCGAATCACAGCTGCGGGCTGGCCGGTGAATGTCTCCAAAACGGCTGATAACGCGATGACCGTACTTAGTATGTAAAAGATCAATTGTTTCACGGCTGGTGTGGCATGTTGCGCCATCCTGCTGGAACCAGAGATTGTGTAAGTGCATGCCGTCTAATAGTGGCCACAAAAAAACTCCTCAACATGTCTCTACAGCGTTCCCCGTTTATCTTCACGCTGTTACCATCTTCATCTTGAAAAAGATAGGGACCAATAATCCCACCACTCCAAAAGCCACACCAAAAAGTTACTCTTTTTGAATGCATTGGTTTTTCTATGACGACATGTGGATTTTCGGAACCCAAAATCCTACAGTTCTGCTTGTTAACGTAACCTCCCAGATGGAAATAGGCTTCGTCCGAAAAGATGATTTGGCGACCAAAATTGACGTCCGTTCCCAATTGATTTAGAGTCCACACAGAAAAACGACATCGAAGCGGATGGTCAACTCCTGCACAAGTCGCATCTTGTAAGGAAATAATCCCAGGTCGTTATGCAATGTTCTCCGCACAGAAGTGCGACTGATGTCCACTTGTTATGCTCTGTGACGAGTTGACATGCTTGCTTTTTCACCCACACTCTGGGCACCAGCAGCAATGTTTTTGGCTGTACGTACGGTCGAACACGCTCATACCTTCTGTTATCCACAAGAAGGCCAGTTTCACGAACCTTCTTCACGAATTTTCGTATACCAGTCGCGGCCGGAGCTTCATTCCGACCAAATAGTCTTCTCAATTTTCCCAAAGTTTCTGCAAAACAGCACCCATTTTGAAAATAGTTTTTCACTATTTCCCACTTTTGTTCAAGATTAAAACGATCCCTCGCTCACAGCGGAAGTTGGACACAATATATCTGTTAAAATGTTGAGCGTGAAAGTGTTACCAACTGTCAAAATAATACCAACTTAAAAAAACAACTGATGGCACATCCTTTAGAAAATCACCAAATTTGTTAGAATCTAGTATTTTTAATAGGCTTCCCGAATATATTAAGTACAGCCATCGGAATTCAGTTCTCGAATCCTGTGGAAAATGTCTCACGGGAAAATACCACAATGCTGCTTTCCCATTGAAGTTAACATACCGGACGCATTTGCATAATCTGCATTTTTGCATAATCGTATTCAACCAGTATCCCTTTAAATAAACCTGCAGGTTGCCCAAAACTGCCTCAAAAATAACATTTAAACAAATTTTAAACATTTTTTTTTGCTGTAAACAGGATTTTTTATGTTTTTTTTGAAGATTGTGAATAAAAAAATAATATTTGCATTTCTCTAAAGTTGATAGTTTTCGAGATATATTTGATATTTCAAAAAGTGCGAAAATCTTCGATCCTTAAAGCAATATAAAGAAATGGCGTCAATTAGGTTGACTCAGCACTTCCCACGCAACGGCACCCTTATCAGTACGTAAGAAATATGGTCAACACAAACTAGACCATCTGAGACAAATGTTTGTCATGCACATCCATACAATTAGTATATAGACATGTTTTCCCTGCCCTACCGGTAGAGCATCTGGAAGCCTCGCCTCTCACCGATAGCTAACTCGGACAGACGTGGCACCGTGGTAGCGTAGAAATACGTGTGATTCCACATCAGAACTCTCATCACGGTCGGCGCACGACGCCAGCAGTAGCCGCGGCTGATAGGTACACGATCCGTCTTCAAGTTCAAAAGGGGCTACTGTACAGAGAAATCTATGATTTGTGGAATGTACCAGAATGTACCAAAAAGTAGGCGTGGGAAGTAAAAACGAAAACTTTAATGTTGCCAAAGCTCCTAAATACCCTCCAAACGCCAATTTGCAAAATGCCAAAGCATTTTAAGGCGCTTAATTACTGCATATCTTTGTTTTTCAATTGTTAATCAAGCGGGCGCTAGATAAGTCCTGGTGTTCTGATATTCTTCAATGTATAAAATTTCAAAATGATTTGTGTTCCTACATCTCAGATCCTTAATTGTATGTGTAGGTATGCGCATCTCTCATATAAAAAAATGGGTCAAACATGATGATGAATAGACATAGCGAATTTCTTGCGATTCCCGTTTTTCGCCCTATATCCGCAAGGGTGATGAACCCCGCGGGGGCGGGTATGTTTCCCTCCCTCCCCTCTCTACCCCTCTGCCCCTCTAACGATTGCGTTGGCGTCTGCGTTAGGAATCCAGCGCTTTCTGGGTCAATGTGACGAACGAACGTTGGATTTAAGAATATCGGACAAAGATAATGTGCATGTTTGGTAATGGGGTAACGCCATTCATGGTAACCCGGTAGCATACATTTTTGTGTCCATCTATTTGTATTTAGGTGATTGGTAGGATAATGCCGGGAATACGGACTTAGGCTGACAAGATTTTTACTCTATTAATATAGGGACTACTTTTATATTTGAAGTTACGTAGCATGCCGAATTATTTTTTCTTTCAAAGCAAAATATATACATCATCTCAAAGTACAAGTCATGCCCTTTCAAATGCCATTGAGTTTGCTTAAATATATTTTTTCCGCTGAGATATGGCACTTTGAAATTTTCATTTTTCAGGGTTTCACTATTATCCTTCTCTTGATTATCTATTATGGTAGAATAACAGCTGATTACCTAGTAATATTTCTTTATTCCGCATATCAACAAATGACACATAATTATGACGGATCCGTC